CTCATAGATGGCAGCACTCCTGCCTCAGAATCAACCCTTGGGACATTCGGATCTGGCTAAAAGGTCCATGAGAGTCTCACAGGCATGGAAAGCCATGACACGGAGGCAAAAAACAATCTAAATGAAAGATCCTGGTGAACAAGACCCCAGCAGAAGGAACAGGCCATCAAGGAGAGAGGCGCCTTTCTCTGAAGGGAGGAAGGAACCTCCACTGTGATATGGCCTTGACTAAACAAGTTCAGAGTCGGTGAACTCAAGGGGCTTCCATAGCCTAGACAGCTCATGGCAAGAGTCTCGGGTGATTGCTGACGTCATAAATAAGAGTGCCAATTGTTAAATCAACAACAGGAGTCACTGGGTACATGCTCCCCATGTAGGATCTCTGTCCTTAATGTGTTTTACTATGAAACTTAAAAACAACACTACTAGTCGAACAATACCCTATACCTTGTGCGGTTGTGTGAGTGCAGCCTGTTGAAATCCTTGCTTAGTATATACTAAGTTGATCTTCAGTATATGAAGGTGATTGAAAATGAAACTCAATGAAGGGCGGGATGGGAGAGGGAGTGGGAGAGGGGAGGGCCACGGGAGGGAGGGAGGTTGGGGGAGAAGCCACAGCAATGCAAAAGTTACACTTTGTAAATTCACATTTATTAAATAAAAAATAACTATATAACAAACAAAAAAAAACTTAATACTTTACCCTTTTGGTATTTTTTATGTTCTACTTAAAACTATTGGTTGAACTCTGTAATTAATACACAATTACTCTTAGGTGTTTAATTAATGCTATAACTAGTACTCAAATAGTATTTTACACTTTGTATTTCTGTGTGGGTGCAAACTGTTGAAATCTTTACTTAATATATGCTAAATTGATCTTCTGTATATAAAGATAATTGAAAATGAATCTTGATGTGAATGGAAGGGGAGAGGGAGTGGGAGAGGGGAGTGTTGTGGGTGGGAGGGAAGTTATGGTGGGGGGGAAGCTATTGTAATCCATAAGCTGTACTTTGGAAATGTATGTTCATTAAATAAAATAAAATAAAAATTAAAAATGTGGAAAAAAAACTTAAAAAAAAGATTTATAGGTTTTAGTAGCATGGTGGTTACTGGTTGGGCTAGGATGTACAGGTTTTTCGGTTGAATACTAGTCTAGACATTGCAGTGACTTTAAGTAGGTTATCCTCAGTGTGGGCGAGACTCATTCAGTCAGTTGAAAGCCTTGAGAGCCAAAAACTAAAGTTTATTGGAGATCAAAAGAATTCTGCACAAGACTGCCATGCAGAAATCTTGCCTGTGCATGGAAAGGCAACACACCCTGGAAAAAAAAAAAAAAGACCTAAATGGAAGATCTCTGTGAGTGAGATCCCAGTGGAAAGAACAGGTCATCAAAGAAGGAGATACCTTTCTCTGAAGGGAGCAGAGAACTTCCACTTTGACTATGGCCTTGTTGAAATAAGATCAAAGTCGGCGAACTCAAAAGGCTTCCATATAAGCCTTGGAAACTCATGACTAGAGCCTAGGGAGATTACTGACGCAATAAACAAGAGTGTCAAATTGTTAAGTCAACAACAGGAGTCACTGTGTACTTACTCCTCATGTGGGATCTGTCCTTAGTGTGTTGTCCAATGTGAAGTAATGCTATAACTAGTACTGAAACAGTATTTTTCACTTTGTGTTTCTGTGTGGGTGCAAACTGTTGAAATCTTTACTTAATATATGCTAAATCGATCTTCTGTATATAAAGATAATTGAAAATGAATCTTGGTGTGAATGGAATGGGAGAGGGAGCGGGAGATGGGAGGGGTGTGAGTGGGAGGGAAGTTATGGGGGGGAAGCCATTGTAATCCATTAACTGTACTTTGGAAATTTATATTTACTAAATAAAAAATAAAAAAAAATTTTAACAACCAAAAAAAAAAAATCTTGCCTGTGAATTTAAAAGTTGTAGCCTCCATAATCATGTGAGCCAATGTATTACATTTTCTCTCTAAATCTGCGTGTGTGTGTACGTATGTGTCTATTTATCACCTGCATACACATATGGGGTTATGTCCTGGTAAACCCATAATAAGTTGAAAATTCCACATCAAAAATGCATTTAAGGCTGGCGCCGTGGCTCACTAGGCTAATCCTCTGCCTTGCTGCGCCGGCACACCAGGTTCTAGTCCCGGTCGGGGTGCCGGATTCTGTCCCAGTTGCCCCTCTTCCAGGCCAGCTCTCTGCTGTGGCCAGGGAGTGCAGTGGAGGATGGCCCAAGTGCTTGGGCCCTGCACCCCATGGGAGACCAGGAGAAGTACCTGGCTCCTGCCATCGGATCAGCGCGGTGCGCCGGCCGCAGCGCGCTGGCTGCGGCGGCCATTGGAGGGTGAACCAACGGCAAAGGAAGACCTTTCTCTCTGTTTCTCTCTCTCTCACTGTCCACTCTGCCTGTCAAAAAAAGAAAAAAAAAAAGAAAAAATGCATTTAAGACACCTAATCTTCCAAATGTCATTACTACCTAGCCTACCTTAAATATGCTGAGAACACTTATATTAGCCTACAGCAGGACAAATCATTTAGCACAAAGCCTAATTCAGACCAAAGTTTTGAATATCTCATTTATATTCACAGATGGATGTTTTGTATACATGATAGGATGCAAAAAACAAAATGCAATATACTGAAAGTGGATAACTGGGCATTTTAAGAGAATATAAACAGCATATCATCAGCTGAGGGAAATATCAAAACTCAAAGTAAAGTGTCTGCCAAGTGCTTTTTCCTTTCACATCATAAAGTTGAACAAATGTAGGTCAAACCATCATAGTTGGAGACCATCACCATGTATCCCATTGGTTATATTTCTCTGGGACCCCCTGACTGAAATAGACAGAATGATCTTCACCAGCTCTCTGGCTCTCAAATTCTGCTGTTGAATTTGATCTGATTCTATCTTATTGATCCTATTCCATTGATTCTACTCCTTGGTTATTTACAACTAAGTAACCATTGCAATTAAAGGTCTTGGTTGACATTTGATTCAACTGTACTTGAAAATTAGGAGATAAATATTTTAACTCAACTCATGTATCATCAACCTTGAGAAGTTGTGGGGTTTAAGTGCTCAGGAAATGCAGATCCTTGCACTTTGTGGAGCTAGGTTCTTGTGGTCTGGTTTCTCATAAAATTTTACTTTCGTGTTATATTGCCTTCTGAAGTCAAGTATCCATGATAAGCCTTTTATTTCTGGGTCAAAGCATGAATCTCAACTTTGTTTCAGAGAGTTGGGGATTATGGGAGATTTTAATTTTCTTTCTTTTGATTATCTTTACCTTCTACAGTGAGCATATTTGACCTTTGTAAAGAAGAAAAAGGTTTGAAAAAATCAAGACCCCCTAAACACCAAATTTATCCATAACACATTAGGTCACACCATTAGAGATGTAAAATGGTATTAGTTTCAAATGTCCTCACATAATGTAGACTGAAAACAATAAAAAATTATATATGTGCTTTATATGATTAAAGCTAGGGACCATCACAATTTTTGGACTGGAAAGAAAAAAATGTATCAATGGCTAATATTTAATAGCACAGTTATTAGGTTTTGATGCTGGACATAGCTAACATTTGTGTTATTAATCTGTAAATCTTTTTTGTGAAGTGTTTGTTTATATAGATGTGCATGTTTTGCTTTGTTATAAGCTTTACTCTGTTGACTATCTTTGTTTATAATATAGCAAGTTATATTTATACCCAGTCTGAATTTTATACCTTATTTTTTTAGCTTTTTACTTTCTATGCCTGTTATCCTTTAGTTAAATACTACCTGTTTTTGTTGCAAATGCTCTTCCCTTCTAGAATTTTATCAAATAAAAGGGGGTAGTTAATATTTGTTAAATATATAACAAAATATATCAAACTAGTGACGTAGTTATTGTGACTACATTTGGCAGTTACTCTTAATGCATGTAATCTAATCATTTGCAGAAAAATATGAAATAGAAATAAAACTACTTGGGAGCAGATGTTTGGCACAGCAGCATGTCTGCATCCCTTAATAGAGTACCTAGCTTTGAGTCCATTTCTGATTCCAACTTCCTGCTAATATGCACCCTGGGAGGCAGCAGGTATTGGCACACGTACTTGTGTCCCTGCCACCCATGCGACAGGGACCAGATTGAGTTCAAGCTCCTGACTTAATCCTAACTCATCCCCAGTTCTTGTGGGCATTTGAAGAGTGAACCAGCAGATGGAAGGTCTCTGTCTCTCTGTCTTTCAGATAAAAGAAAAATTATAAATAAAACAAAGGATTATTTCAAGTTTAGCTAAAGAAATATGTGAGGGGACCTTTCTCCCAGTGGTGTCCACGGTTGATAAAGTAGATTTGACTATAGAGGGATTGTTCTCCCACACTGCTTGCCGCGTGTGCTTCTGTTAGAGACAGCCTTGTTAGAGGAAGCAGGTCCTCAGTGAAGTGTGTGGAGGTGGTAAAGACTTTTATGCATGACATATACTGAAAATAATGAAGCAAAACATCACAGTAATTGACTTCCAGATCTACCTTCATTCCAGCCAGTGTGACATTAACTTATATATGCTAGAGTCTCAAACGCCT